CCACACATGTTCATTGATGAGTTCATTCCAACACTTGAAGGGGATAATGGGATTTGTTACTCCCATCCTGAAAACCTTCCTGGTATAGAGAGAAAGCTCATTTGCCCTGCTTCTCCACCTCTTTACCGTTTGAAATTTCTCAACAGATGTCTATGTGTTTGCCAATTGGCCAATATGTAGGTGCTAAGAAAGACGGAAGCTGTGTTCATTTCTTTCATCGCACCATGAATGCTTATGCAACTGGTGACAGAAAGCGTAGAAAGATCCAGAGAGGTGAAGACACTTCCATTAGCGAAAGTGTGCGCTGGCACAAGACAGGCAGGACCAAGGTCGTGGTCGAAAATGGTGCTAAAAAGGGCTGCAAGAAGATCATGGTCCTGTACAGAAGCTCAAAGGGAAGAGGTTCTAAGCCTGATAAGGCCGGTTGGACGATGCACCAGTTCCATTTGGGCACTGAAGAGGATGAAACTGCTGGTGAATATGTTGTTTCCAGGATCTTCTACCAGGAATCCAAGATGAATGGGAAGAATAATGATGAGACTTCGGAGATTCAAGGTTCTGAAACTGTTGTTGCTGGTGTAATGCATCCAAGGACCCCGAATCCTAATCCTCCCAATCCACAGCGACATAACGATCTTGCTGATGACACCATCACTTCAGATTCCTCTGCCCAGGTTTGGCTACACTTCTTGTATTTATTTTGCTGAATTTGAAGTAAACATTTGGGTTGGAAAAACTGAACTTTATGTTTTGATTGTTTTTCTTTTGTGGAGTTTAGGATCAGAAGTTGATGATAGGGGAGGATGTGGGATATGAAGCATGGCTGGGTGGTGAATCCCAGCCTGTTGATGAAACCCCTGACTTCACCAACATCGGAGATTCTTCTTTGGTATGCAAAGAGACTTCCAATCCTTCTACTTCGATCTTCGGCAATAACTCAACAGCAATGAATCATATACCATGCACTGGTGGAGGTAGTGGAAATAACAACCCTCCTTTTGCTTCATCAATCTTCGGCAATAACTCAACAGCAATAAATCATATACCATGCCCTGGTGAAGGTAGTGGAAATAACAGCTCTCCCTCATCTTTGTCGATCTTGGGCAACAACTCAACAGCAATAAATCATATACCATGCACTGGTGGAGGTAGTGGAAATAACAACGCTCCTTCCTATGGAATCTCAGTCCTGGAGAACCTGGAAATGGACACTCCGCCAGATTTCCAGCTTTCTGTAAGCCTAATAACACAACCATTTAGCATGCATATAACAAGTTACTGCAGAACGCATTATTATTTCTCTTCATATTTAACAATGTGATCTTGTTTCTGCAGGATCTTCAATTTGGTTCCCAAGACAGCAATTGTAGCTGGCTGGACAAGTTTTGAATAAACACTCTGAATAACAATGGAGCAGAAGAAGCTCTGCTAGGAAAAACCATGAACATGTCATCACTCCCACCAGTTTTGTTGCTGGTGCAGGAAGCCATATTAGTTGGCTTTAGTCTAGCAGCATTGTTGTTGTTCATTCTCAATCGGCTTAGAATCGAAAGTAACGTATGTTTTTCATGCAGTTCGTGTGCAACATAAACAAGAGTGATTCCACTATTGCTGCAATGGCAGGAAAGACGAAAAATGGCCTCATAATTTCGTGTGTAATAGTTGTGATGGCAGAGTGGCTGTAGCCTCTTGATTATCTGTTACTGTGTAATGTACTTAACTTGACTGCAATATAAACAGAGGATATGTTATGTTCCTTGTTAACTAAGTAAGCTACAGTAGTATTAATTTCTTGCTGCTGTCTTTATGGCTGCTGGTTTTTCTTCTGTGCAAATCCAGGAATTGGTTCAAGAAAGTTGTTCCTTACCATTGTGAAATGGGAATGCATGCAAGAGTACAGCTTATTTACTCCATGACTTCGTATTGAAGCTACCATAACTGTTGATTTTGAAATGCACCATCGTTTAAGTACCTAATTTATTTGCAGAAGGCCTTTCCCTTTTATTTGCAGCTGAATAGAAACTTTACCATCGCTCGAATTTGTTTGAGCGAATAACTTGACCTTTTATAATACCTTACCGCCACCATTCACAACCCACACACTCTCACTTCTCTTGTTAACTCCATCCACAGCTCTCCCAGAACAGAGAAGAACCAACCAAATAAAGCGTCCATGGCTGCCACTGCTGATGCAGTCTTTCTCTACCGCCATTAGCAGGTACTGCCTTCAAACTCATTTTACTAATAAACCATGAGTTTCTGTTTCTTTTCCCCAACAGTATTGTGTTTGTGTTCTTTCCCCAAACTTAGATCTGATCGCCCCTGTTTTTCCATCCCTGGATATGGCGGAAATGCAGGGGTGGCTGGTGATGAGATACTGGTAATATGTAGCGCCTGGAGGAAATTGGGGGAATGTCAGCAGGTGCCAATTTTGAGCCGTCCAATACAGAGCTCTTAGAGCATCTGGCGGCCAAATGTGGAGTGGAGAACTCAGGCCCACCTGACCCAAATCATTCTGACAATTGAAGATCATGAAGCTATTTTCTACTCACATCCCATGAATCTTCTTGGCAACTCTCAATTTTCTGTCCTTTGATATGCATCAAGGTTTACACAACGGCTATGGTGTTTATTAATCTTTGAACGCTTCGATGAAACTGGATTGTACTCCCTTTGATCACTCTGTCTGCAACTCTAACTCTGTCTCTCAAAAAAATCAGGTCGCTACCACTGTTTGGAACAGATGGAACGGAGCCACATGTGACATGACCCAGAAGAGCTTATATCGCAACAACACTTATCATAGCGCCGTTTCAATACCAAATCTAGCAAAACCTATACACAAAAATCATCAATTTCAACAAGAAATCGGAAATATGTAGTCAAAGTGTATCCTGATCCAATATATTATATATAACTTATCGGCCGCAGCCATGAATGAAAGCATTGATTCTTCTCAGTTCGGCCTACTGGGATACCCTTGAATGTGGTGGGCAAAAGAAGAGAGTGTTGAACAGATGGTGGGGGAGGTAAGCATCTACTGGTGTAATTCACTAATAGCATACCACACAATTCACTTAACCAAGCAAAAGCAAAATAGTGCAAAATGACCAGAGGCTATCAGTGCAAGAGCAGAACAAAATACCAGTAGAGGCAAACCACAATAGATCAACATTACTGCCACAGATCCAAGCCAATTTGTCAAACCTTAATAACACAAAAAACTCGTCCAAAAACGCCTTGCACAGGCAGCATTGTTCAAAAACTAACAAACATGGTGTCCCAGAACAGAAATTCAAAATGCAGCTACTCATTCCTCCTCGACGATCGTTCCTTTCTCGCTAACATAGATACCATCAAGAAACTTCCTGATATCCTTGTTCTTCACATGGCATTTCTGAATCAGGAAAAGAACATGAACAAAAACAGATCAGATTCAGATATCAAGCTAGAGGTGCATGACATAACTTGATGAAGGAGATTCTCAAGCAATTGCTGATGTGGGGAAAGCTTGCAGGTGAGGTTACCTGATTAATCAGAGCAGCAGATCGTGAAACCAGCTCCACATCATTGCCATCCAAAACCAACTCATCCTTGGTCTTTTCTGATCTGATGACAGTCACACCATCAAGCATATCCACCTTCCTCACCTGGAAGAATAAAAAGGGTATCAGATCATACTCTAATAGAGAATCTGCAAGCACTTAAATATTCCCCCATACCAAAACTCAGAGGATACTCATCTAAATTATGAATACAAATGCAATCCAACACAAGACATGGATCAATACAACAAACAGTTCAGGGGCTTTCTAATGAGCCACTAGAAGCACAACTCGGCTCATGGCCATAAACTAGGCTTGACTGGCTACATATAAACTAAAAACTTCACTATACACCAGGATGATCACCTAAATTAAGAAAACAAATTATATAAAAACCAAACAGTTTCAAGGGATTTCAAATGAGCGACTAGAAGCACAACTCAGAGTGTGACAACAGACAATGCCCGACTGACTACATGTAAATATATAACATTGCAAAAACTCCGAGGATGCTCATCTAAATGACGAAACCAAACATGTATCAATCCAACAGCTCAAGGGTTTTCCAATGAGCAACTAGGAACAAAACTACCGTATGACCATAAACTAGGCTTTAATGACTACATCTTACATAATAAGATTCATGACAAACAGAAGACACATACTAAAATAATACCACACTAATTCATCATCCCCACGGATCTGCGAACCTAATAAACGGAGAAACGAATAAAAAACAAGAAAAGATACAGGCGCATACCCTCTTCTCCCCAAGGAAGTTACGGATTTCAATGGCTTTGTTAGCGTTGGTGATGGATGCGTTGATGGGGAAATGAGCATACACGAACCGCATCTTGTAGCGGTATCCCTTGGTGACGCCGGTGATCAGATTCTCCACGTGACTGAGAGCGGTACGGATGGAGGCGCTGGTCTTCCTGGTTCCGAACCAAGAATCAACCTTCAGCTTTCGATTCCCGGTCTCTTCGTCCTTGATCAACTGGAAATCCAGATTCAAATGCTTGAAGTCGCGGACGAGCTTGCCCCTCGGTCCTTGCACCTCAATCACCTTGGCGTGGACCTTGATCTTCACGCCTTCTGGGATATCCATCGTTTCCGACGAGATGATCGCCTTCATTTTGACAGCTGCGGCGGAGTACGACCGAAAATATGGAACTCTCCACGCTTTGAGAGAGTGCTGCGGCGGAGTGCGATCGAAAATATGGAACTCTCCACTAAACCCTAGCTCCCAACTTATTTATATGCGAGAACGAGAGGAAAAAACCTAATAATCCAGCCGATTTTTATATGGGCCAAGTTTGCAGGTCGGCCCATTTTCAAAGCCTGGAGGTGCTAGGTTGGTTTCTCCGTTTTGACTGGCCGTTTCACGTTTCAACGCTCCGTTTCTCTCTTCTGGCTTTCGTTTCGCGTTTACACCTCAATGAGCTCCGACCCAGACGGACGATTGACTTCCCGTTTCCTGCACAGCAGAGCAAAGAGCAAACACAGAAACCTAAAACCCTGTGGCTGGGCACCAGAAGGAGCTTAAACCCCGACAGCCAAAACTCGAATATGAAGTGATCCAAAATCGGGCTGTTGAAAAAGCTTCCATTCTCTATCATCAGTTTCATGGTCAAGGCCGAAAAATGTTGGCTTCAAGGATTCTTCGAAGCCATTGCTTCAGAACCCACCTCTCCTCCAATAATCCCTCCAGGTTTGCTCGAAAGTTTGTTTCTTTTATCCATTTCGTCATGAGTTGTCGGCCTGATCGTAGGATTTGATTCATTGGGTTTCCTTGGATTATACAGAACCATAGTACTGGCGTTGAATGATGTTAGTTCTTCGAGTATTAGTTCTACTCCAGATAGTCTTCGGCCTCCTCCGCCGTTGAATTGCTCTGCTTTCGGCAGCGGATGGTGCCGCGGGATGTCGACTTCCAAAGGGAGGAGCATGAGAAGCAAAGTGGAGAGTAGGATGAGGAAAGAGTCCGGTAAAACGATGAGGGAGATTAGGAGAGCTAAGAAATTGAAGAAGAAGCTTATGACTGATGAAGAGAGGCTTATTTACAATCTCAAAAGAGTGAGTATGTTCCCCCTTCTTGGGTTTGTTCCAGTTCTTGTTCCGCATTTCCTGATGTGAATGAATGGTTCCGGTTTTCGCGGTTACATGCAATGGTGAGATCCAAGCTATTGAATGGCTTAGAATGAGCACGGATTTAGAAGGTTAGGGGATTCAGGAATCCAAGTTTTGTGTTTCGAGTTGGAATGGTGTCCGAATATATATAGTGCTAGGAGAAGGCTGAGATTATCCTTGCAGCACGTCCTGTAGGATTGCGTTATTGATGATTAGGCCCAGCTTGTTGTCGTTGTGCTTGATATTTCTTTTGTGGTGTAACTGATAACAGGCTAAGAAGAAAGTGGCATTGCTCCTCCAAAAGCTGAAGAAATACGAGCTACCCGAGTTGCCCCCATCGGTGCATGATCCCGAGCTATTCACACCGGAGCAGCTTCAGTCGTACAAGAAGATAGGCTTCAAGAACAAGAACTATGTCCCTGTCGGTGTTCGTGGAGTGTTTGGAGGAGTGGTGCAGAATATGCACATGCACTGGAAGTTTCATGAGACTGTGCAGGTGTGTTGTGACAACTTTCCAAAGGAAAAGATCAAAGAGATGGCCACCATGATAGCAAGGCTTAGCGGCGGTATTGTGGTGAATATACATAATGTGAAGACGATTATCATGTTCCGTGGCAGGAACTATCGACAACCCAAGAACTTGATTCCCTTTAATACTTTGACAAAGAGGAAGGTATGTGCTGACTTTTTGTGTTTCAGTGTTAATGGCTATATAGCGGTTCTCTATTGTAGGTCATACCGTAGAAATGTAGTCCTCACCTGTAGACGAGTTGCTGTGTGAATAAGCTTTAGAAGTTGAGATATTCTTAAAGTTGTAGTGAGCAGAACATTTGTCTTGATTTATGCTATGCTGTACGTGAAGGTACTGAAAAAGGATAGCATTTCTTATTCAATCCATCTTATGAAGTTACTTTTGCATTGAATTGCTGTGTGTTGTAGTGGAAAAGTGCTATTGCTGCTCATTCTAATCTTCATTTTTCTGCTTCAGGCATTATTCAAGGCAAGATTTGAGCAAGCACTAGAATCACAGAAGCTAAATATCAAGAAGATAGAGCAACAGCTTCGACGGATGGGTGTAAATCCCGAGGATCCAGTGGCCATGGCTAGCATCCAGAGAGTAGCTTCCACGTTTTTCAATGCAATTGACAGCAAAGAAGGAAGTCCATATGTATTCAAAGGCGACGAACTCTCATCACCACAGCCTGCTGATGATGATGCGGAGCATTCAGATCAAGGAGCCGATAGTGATCAGGAGGAGCTGAACCGCTTTATATCTGAGATAGAGGATGCTGCAGACAGAGAATGGGCTGCTGAAGAAGCAGCTGAGCAAGAAGAGTTTGGCAGGATTAGGTATAGGAACAAAGATGAAAATGGCGGGAGGCTAAGATTTGAGAATAAAGAAGCTTATGAGGAGGCTGTCAGACAAGGGAAGGTTTGGCGTGACCCACGTGATGATCGCAGGAGTGCTGGGAGAGATGATGATGGTGACGAGAGGGATGGAATCTCAGATGAAGAGGATGAGTGGGATTCTGACGATGATCCCCGAGATACTAATGATCATGTTATAGGTAGATCACAGAAAATGAACCAAGATAGGGGTAGAAGTATGAGGTATAGTAACAACGACCGTGTTGATAGAAGACCTTCTACAACTAAATTCAACAGGAAGGAAGTTGAAGAAAGAGAAGAGGATGAGTGGGACTCTGATGATGATTCTCGTGATACTAATGGTCGTGTTATAGCTAGATCACAGACAAGAAACCAACATAGGGATACAAGTACGAGGTATAATAACAGCGATCATTTTGATAGAAGACCTGCTGCGAATAAGTTCAATAGGAAGGAAGTCGAAGTAAAAGAAGAAGATTCTGAATCTGACGACATGCTGAGTGATCTCGACAATGCGATGTGGAATTCAGACGAAGAAGAAGGTGAAATTGGGGCATCGAAGAAGAAAGTGCCTCCAGGCCGCAGTTTTAGAAGCAGCAGTAGTGGAGAAGAGGATGATGAAGAGGATTCTCGTGGCAAGTTGAGAACAGCTCGAGGTGCAAGAGTGAGTCAAGGAAGATTCAGCACAAGGACAAGTGAGTCCCGAGCAAGTTGCAGAAGGGAACCAGCTGCTGATGGAGATTCTGGTTCAGAAGATGTGGGCTTCCCAATGTGGCAATCGGACTCTGACGATGAACTCAATCCAAATGAAGGCAGCAAACTCGGCTTCAATCACACGGATGAAACTAAGGAGCATGGGAAGCAAGGAGGGAAGAAGGTGAAGACGGTGAAAGAAATGGACGAACTTTGGGACAGTGACTGAGTCATCTGCAGCAATTCCAAGCTATTGATTTAGTAGCCAGAAGCAACCAAACCCCTCCTCGCCATTCTGTGGCAGAACATATTGTGATTCATTGTTATTGTTAAAAAGCTGTAATCTTGTCCGTTGATTCAAATCGAAGTCGTACCATGTCAGATTAGCAGCAGCAGCAGAAAGCTGCCTTCTTGATATGATCCTAAATGGACAACTCTACACACTTTTATTACTTGACAAAGAAGCTATCGAAGTTGGGAAGAAGAAGGGCAGAATTTGGCTAAGTCAAAATCCGTGTTCAGGGTACATACTTTGGAGGCATGGTTCTCTCAATTGGCTTAGTGGAAATTCAATGTTAAGGGTTTGTATTGCAGATAAAGTTTTCATCTTTCCAATGGTATGCTTTGTGGATCCAGATGATGTCATTAAGGTTGTTTTCCAAGGCCTCAAAGTTGCTACCTCAAAACTGGAAAACTGCCAGAATTTGGTTAAGGCAGAAACTGTGTTCAAGAAGCCTACTTTGGAGCTCCATTCCAGAAGCATGGATGGGATTCGAGTCCAGAGGCTTAAACCACATGAAAGTAGGTATGTTCTACTACAAAGACATGGCATTGGATGATTGGAAGCTTACTTGGAAGGCTTTGATCGAGAGGCTCAAAGATGGCATCAAAGCTGTTTGGTTACTTGGAGCTAAAGGAAGATTTCTTTTTCTTGTTTAGTTAGGATTTCATTGTTTTGGTAGTTTTTTTTATTCCTTTTCGTATTAGACTGTAATTAGGAGTTTATGGGACGTGTGTAACCCTAGCTAGGCCTATTTAAGCTTTCTATTTCATTGTAAAACTCAGAGTTGATTGAATTGAATACAAACCGAGTGTTTGGAGTTCTTGAGTAGCGTCTCGAGAGTTTACCCATTGTCGTTAGCTACGAGTGGATTCCTTAGCTAATTACAAGACCCTTGTGAAGCTATTCTGAGTGGATTCCAGAATCGTTTAGCAAGTTCTCTTATCAATCGATTAATCACCTCGATTGTGGCGAGAAATTCTACCTATCCGTTTTATCTTTCGTTGAAGAGTTTTGGCTGCGTATTCTGATCAAACAAAGCACCCCCCTGGTGCTTTATCACTTCTGCAACAGTTTTGTATACCCCCAGGCCCCATGATTGAAAATAGACGCATATTATGTTGACGGATCACTTATTATTGCTCGTTCCATGGGTCTGATACCACTTCCGTATGAGTTCAATGTGTCAACCTTCTCGACTATGGCCTCATATGATCTGAAACGACCTAAATGACACTCTTCTGTGGGAATATTCATGCTCTAGTCAGTCAACCATTCACCACTCACCATCTAGCAAGAGAAGTTAAGGAATTCACGCGTCCAAAAAGTAATAGGAGAAGAGACTAGTTAAAAAAACAAAAAACATATCAAGAACGAAGTCTTGTATGTGTGGTAGACTTTTCCAAGTCAATCTTCCATCCCCATCCCACTGATTATCTTGGCATTAACTGAGAAAACATACGCGGCATTTCATGACCATGACATTGTCTTAATTCTTTTGATTATCAATATTAGAGTGATTAACTAAATAATTAAATAAACAGTAAGATTAATGTTACTACTAGCATGTAGTTTAGCTATTGATGATTTCGTAATTCACCTGTCATTGTCCATTGAGACGGCCGGGGACGGCGAACTAAACTGCACAAGTCCACCTACAATACAAATAATCAGGAATATTATCCTCCACAACCTTGACAAAACTAGATCTTGTTGATTATGATTGCTACATTTATTTTAAGTCGAGAGAGACGATCATCATAAATATACATGAATGAGCGAGCGAGTTTGATACTAGAGAAATCTTATAATATAATATAGTATACTCGTGACACTCGAATAAACCGTGTGATATGTTTGTTTTACGTTATTGTAATGATAGTAAGAAGAGAAGAGTTAATTAAGGATGAAGGATTGAAGTTTCTTCTTTTTGTGATTGGGTGTGCCATATGTGGAGTGTTGGTAAGTTCATAACAAGTGGGAACCTAATATTAGATAAATAAGACCGATAAGGTAGAATTTTATAATAATGTTTTTCCACGTTCTCACTATATAATCTTCTTCTTATCATTTAGTTGGTAAATGGGAGAATGTTGAACTCTACATGCCCATTGACTAAAATATCAACAAATTTTGAGGATCGGCCACATTGAGAAAGGAAGCGAGGAAACAGGCAACTTGGCAATGACTACATCAAAGTTTGAACATGATTGATGATTGTGAAGAGACCGTAAGTGCTAGGTAGAGAGTAGACTCATGACTCATTTTAGATTCGTTTGTGAGTTGTATGATATTTGTTTAAGAAAGTAGTAGAATTAGGTTTTGGAGGATTCGTATGAAAATGGTTGTCCTATTTGATTTCACATGTAACAACAATTAGAGTTCTGGTGATTCGGAATAGGACGAAAGAACAAAAACTCATATTATGCCTTGTTATGCTCGTGAATAGATAATTTTCATTTAATACGAGTTTTTTTTTTTTTGACAATTGGTTAAATTTCATTCCTGAACGATTGTGGTACAAGCTTTGCCAATTACAGGAGAGGAGAGATCAAATCAAGAAGATGAATCCACTCAAGAGGGAGGGAGCCGCTCCTTGTTTCCTTGGCGACCCAATCGGCACATTTGTTGTTCCTGCGATGAGTAAAGGCGACACGAATAAAGGCATTCTGCGCAAGAATCTGCTTCATACAGTGGATCCAGGCTTTCACTTGCCAGGGCCAGGATCTGCTCCGACCGAGTAAAATATTGATGATAACCAGGCAGTCGGAGAAGATGACAGTAGGCAAACCCGAATCCTGAGCCATTCTCATGGCAATCAACAAGGCTTTAGCTTCCGCAACAATCGAAGAAGAACAAAACAAGGTCCCAGCCTTTCCGTCAATTACTTGTCCATGATGATTGCGAACGACAACACCATATGCCGCCACCTGTGATTCCGAGACAAAAGCTCCATCATAGTGAATCTCCTGTTGGAGGAGGGAAGGCGGTGGGTCAATTCTTGAACAGGATGGGGGAGGCTGGGGAGGAGAGGAGGAAGACGGCAGTGGGAGGAGGCCACTCCACTCATTGAAACAATCAATGGCTTTAGATAAGGTGGGGTGAAGGAGAGGACGAGTGCCACCAAAGATCCATCCGTTGCGAGCGTTCCAGATGGCCCATAAGATAGCAATCACAGCCACCATCGAACTAAAGGAGATCACGTCGTTAAGATGGAAAAGCCACATGAGGATAGGGAGAGAAGGGTGGGGGAGAGGGATGCCAGCGAAGCTTCTTTGCCAAATGAGCACTGCATGTGGACAACCGAAAAGGCAATGCCACACATCTTCAATCTCCTCTTCACAGAGAGTGCAAACCGGAGAGGTGATCACCTTGCGGAACCAAAGATTTCTTTCAGTAGCCACCGCATTCCTAGTGATCCTCCAAATGAAGTTCTTGATCTTGGGAGGTAAGGACAAGCTCCAAAGCCATTTCCACGCTTTGGACGTACAGTCTGGGTGGTTAGGATCCTCTGAACCTGTCATGTTTCTTTCGCTGGTTCTGAAAAGATGGTAAGCCGACTTGACTGAAAAGGCACCCGACTTCTCAGGATGCCAAACCCACGAGTCTTCAAGGTTGTCCATGCCAATCGGGATTCTCTTAATAGCCTCCACTTCGTCTGGAAGACAGGTTTGCTCAATAAGATCAAGATTCCAATCTCTTCCATCATTCATAATCCATTCGAAAGCCTTCAATTGTTGTCTTTGATTTTGCTGGAGTTTAAAGCCAGGTAGGGTAGGGATCCAGGGATCATTGTCAATGTCAATGCTTCTGCCATTCCCCATGTTTTTCCTTGCACCAAGCTTTAGAACCTCCCTAGCCTCACAGATGCTAGACCAAATCCAAGAGGGTTTTCTACCTTTACCTGCATTCATGAAGTCAGAGTTAGGGAAATAAAGGCCTTTAAGGAGTCTCACCCAGGTTTCTTGTTCTCCATTGAGAATCTCCATCCTTGTTTGGCAAGGAGGGCAAGGTTGAACTGATGGAAATCCTTGAACCCCATTCCTCCTTCATGTTTAGGGGCAGTAAGGACGCTTCCTTTTCTCCAGTGAATCGATCCTTTGTCCATATTTCCTCCCCAGAAGAAAGCCCTCAAACGCGCATCCATAATTTTTGTTGTTCTTTTTGGGATGAGGAAACATGACATCAAATAAGTAGGATAGCTTTGGTACACAGCCTTGAGAAGAGTCTCTTTTCCCGCTTGAGAAAGAGCAAGGCTCTTCCATGATTGACCCAGGTTCTCCATTCTAGCGATGAGCCCCGCAAAAACTTCTTTTTTTGATCGTCCCCATTCAGTTGGGTCTCCAAGATATTTCCCCATTCCGTTCGCGCAAGGCATACCCATGAAATTGGATAAGAGAGTCTTAAGGGCTTCAGGAACATTGGAGCTAAAGGTGATTGCTGATTTGTCGTTGTTAATAACTTGTCCTGTCATGCTACCATAGTCTTCAATGACTTTCTTGATGATGATAGCTTCAGACATAGAGGCTTTCCCAAATAGAATAGTATCGTCTGCAAACAGGACATGGGTGAGACGAGGACAAGAAGGGGCAAGGGTAATGCCTTGGATGCTACCATTATCCACATTTTTATTAACAAGGAAAGACAAGGCATTAGTTAAGAGAATGAATAAGAGAGGAGAGAGAGGATCTCCCTGCCGAATGCCTCTGGTTGGCACAAAGAAAGGGGAAGGGTCCCCATTGAACATAACAGAGAATCTCACTGTCCTGATGCATTCCTTCACCCAGGAACACCATTGATGAGAGAACCCCATAGCCTTCAAGATCCCATCCAGACAATCCCAATCAACCGTATCGAAAGCCTTCTTCATATCAAGTTTCATCATCATATCCCATTTCCCTCCTTTCGGGCGAGATTTGAAATGGTGCAACACCTCATGGACAATGATGATGTTGTCCTGAATAGCTCTATTGCCCATGAAAGCTGTATGCATTTCCGAGACAAGATGTGGAATCCATTCCGTAAGACGGGTTGTCATGACTTTGGATATCACCTTGTATCTGAAATTACAGCAACTGATCGGTCTAAACTGAGAGATTCTCTCCGGATTAAGAGTCCTTGGGGTAAGGATAAGATGGGTATCATTCCAACCCTGAGCCATCTTTCCTTCAAGGAAGAAAGATTTAACTTCGCCACAAAGTTGATGTCCAACAGTGTCCCAATATCTTCTGTAGAACATTCCGGGAAACCCATCAGGGCCAGGAGATTTACACGCTCCCAAGTCAAAGACAGCTTCCTTAATTTCCAAGTCTTCCACCGGTTTGCAGAGAGAATGGTTGATATGATCATCCACGATGCAAGGAATCTCTTGAATAAGAACATGATTATTGACAACCTCTCTTTTCCTGAAAAGATCAATGTAGAACTGGACCACATGATTTTGAAGTAGATCCTTATCCTCAATCCAGACGTTACCATCATCCAATAATTTTGCAATACTGTTTCTGAGACTTCTTTGAATAGTTGAGGCATGGAAAAAGCGAGTGTTACTGTCTCCCCGTTTGAGCCAATGTTCTTTCGAGCGTTGCCTCCAAAAGATCTCCTCTTCCTTCCACAGCTTGATCAGTTCAATTTTTAACAAGTTTTCTTCCTCGGCATATTGATGTTGGCGAGTCCAATCCAGAATAGTTTTCAGCCATTCCTCAACAATTTTTATTTTCGCCGCTGCATTGTTGACATTAGCCCTGCTCCAAGATCCAAGCTCTCGGCTGCAACTAGACAACATCGAATGATGGTCTCCCCCTCGCTCCCAAATTCTTTTGATGATGTTCTCACATTCTCCATAATCGAACCACCGGTGATCAAATATGAAAATAGCTCTCTTCCTAGGATGACTTCCCATGATTTCTAGCCTCAAAGGACAGTGATCCGATCCCACCATAGGTTCGTTGAAGATGATAGCATTGTTGAAAGCCTCTCTCCAAGAGAGAGAGCAAAGGCCTCGATCGAGCCTAACCAGAATTTTCCTATGCCCTTGTTGCATATTTGACCAGGTGAATCTTGGTCCTTTGAAATCAATGTCGATAAGTCCATTGTTGAAGACAAAATCTTTGAAAGGTTCCGTTGAGCTGCGACGCACCGGATTACCTCCTTCCTTTTCATCTTCATCTAACACCGCATTATAGTCACCCAAAAGGATCCAAGGACTATCATTAGAGGGTTTAAGGCTACTAACTTCCTCCCAAAAGGCCCTCCTCATAATAGAGTCGTTAGGGGCATGGAGGAAGGTTACATGAAAACCACCCTTAAAGTTTACAAAAGCATGAACATAAAATTCCGAGAAATCTACAATATTAATATCTAATCCCTTAACCCACCAAAGGGATAACCCTCCTCTTATACCTTGAGGATTACAATACCACTTGTTAGCATATCTAGCCCTCCTTCTTTCTTTCTCCATTTCATTTTCTTGCTGTTTGGTCTCCATGAGAAAAATGATCATTGGTTTGAATGATCGATGCAAGTCCCTTAGGTAGTCAACTGCGGAGTCGGACC